CCACCCCGCGACCCACCCCGCGACCCACCCGGGACCCACCCGCGACCCACCCGCGACCACCCCGCGACCCACCCCGCGACCCACCCCGCGACCCACCCCGCGAGCCACCCCGCGACCCACCCCGCGACCCGCCCGCGGCCCACCCCGCGACCCACCCGCGACCCACCCGCGACCCACCCCGCGACCCACCCGCGACCCACCCGCGACCTACCCCGCGACCCACCCGCGACCCTCCCGCGACCCAAACCACGTTCAAGGTACAAACCACCATTTTCGGCGCCTGCGGCTGGCTTTTTTTGCATTCCTTCCAGGTTGAGAGCCCGCGACCCACCCCGTGACCAAATCGCGACCAACCCGCGACCCAAACCACGTTCAGGGTACAAACCACATTTTTCGGCGCCTGCGGCGGGCATCTTTTGCATTCGTTTCAGGTGGAGAGCCCGCGGCCCACCAGCGACCACGTTCAGGGTATAAACCACATTTTTCGGCGCCTGCGGCGGGCATCTTTTGCATTCGTTCTCGGTGGAGAACCCGCGGCCCACCCGCGACCCAAACCACGTTCAGTGTACAAACCAATTTTTTTGGCGCCTGCGGCGGGCTGCTTTTGCATCCCTTCCAGGTGGAGGTGGAGAGCCCGCGACCCACCCGCGACCTAAATCACGTTCATTGAACAAACCAATGCCGCACAAGCGCGGCGGCGGATTTTTGCATGCCGCTTGAGCCCGCAAGGACCTCTTCAAGCCCCGCGCATCCACACCAGCCCGTCGAGCAACTCTGCCCTGGCGAATTGCCTTAATCAAAGAAGGCGGGGAGCATAAAGTGGAAAAAGGATTGCGTTGCAGTTATCTTGGGAAAGAAGGGGGAGGCAGGAGGAGTAAACAGGGGACGAGGAGAACGCGGAAGAACAGAGGATGTAAGGAGAACGTGGAGAAAGAAAAGGAGGAGGAGCAGGAGGACGAGGAGGGGGAGGAGAGGGAGGAGGAGGACGAGGAGGGGGAGGAGGGGGAGGATGATGATGATGATGATGATGATGATGATGATGATGATGATGATGATGATGATGATGGTGATGATGATGGACGACAATGGGAGGACGATGGAGGCCGATGAGGGGGAGGACGATAATGACAGGACGAGGGGGGGAGAGGGAGGACGAGGAAGAAGAGGAGGAGGAGGACGAGGTGGAGGAGGAGGATGACGATGACGATGAGGACGAGGACGAGGAAGAGGAGGAGGAGGAGGAGGAGGAGGACAGCGCCATGGACAAGGAAGGTGGGGGCCACGAGGTCCGCCGGCTCGACGACGCCCGCGTCGCCCGCGCCCGCCCCCTCACTCTTATCCGCAATTGCGGGGTGCTACGTATATACAAGACTGCATTGACGCTTCGCGCCATGCACTTTGGTCCTTGAGGCTTGGCATGCAGGCAAGAGGGCAACAAAAAAACACGGATCGTGTAACGATAATTTGTTGTTGCCTTTTCTGGCATCGTCGTTGTCATGTTATTCGTATTCCTTCCCCCATGTTCCGTCTTCCTCCTCATTCTCGCCCTACCGTGCGATTTCGTCCCCATCATTCGCTTTTTTTGTGGAAGCTCGTCCTAGGAGAGCCTCTTGTAAGTCTCACGAAGGTTTTTAAGATCTCGTTGGGGCCTTCTGGAAGCCTCCTGGGATCCCCCTGGGAGCCTCTGGGGGCTTCCCCAAGGCACCTTGCTTCCAACAACGGTCTCCCTGAACGACCGGGTCACGATTTGGAATGATTCGGGAGACGTCTTGGGGCCATCTTGGGCCGTCATGGGGCTCTCTTCGGGCCATCTTGAGGCTCTGTTGGGCCGTCTTAGGGGTCCTCGTGGACTGCCTGGAAGCCCTCTTGGTTAAATTTGGGGCGATTATCTGGCCTTCTGGGCGGTCGCGGACGCCCAGAAGTCAGAAGCAGTGAGCATTCCCCAAATCATACAAAAACAATAGGAAATCCATGTTTTTGCTTTTCGAGTGCCTCTTGGGGGTTTTCTTTGTGCCGTATTCTGGCGACCCGGTGGGCGTCTGGGGCCTCTGTGGGCTCTCGTGGGGCCGTCCGGCCGCCCTCCTGACCGATTTGGATCCGTTGCCTGGGCCCTACAGGAGCTTCAGGAGTCCCAGAAAGCACCGGGGACCGTCTGCAAGGGCCTCCAGGGTGCCCCCGGGGGTCAAGGATTCGGCCAAGAGGGGGGCGTCCAAGAGGGGGGGCGCAACTCATGGCGGGCGGCATCTGCGCGGCCCAAGGGGGGGGGCCAGGGACGTAATGAAATAAGAAAAGGCGCCATGAAATCTGCGGAAATATCATGGCCCACGCCATGATGTCACCCCCCCTAGTCACCCCCCTCTTTGCCGCCACCGATGTTAAGGGAGGGAGTTTCGCAGGGTCCCATATTGTAAACATACAGAGAAGAGAGTCTGTATTTCTGCGTTTGGGGGGGGCGGCATCTGGGCGCCCCTTGCGGCCGTCTTGGGCTCCTGCGGGGCCACCGTGGCGCAAGAGTGAGCGCCGCGGCGCGCTCGCAGGTCGTCCTTTAAGGCTGTCCTGGGCGTGCTCGGTCCCTCCTTCGGGCCGCTGTGGACTCCTCGAGAGAGGTAGACCCCTGGAGGACTCCGTCGTTTTTTCGGGCTGCTTTGAACACTTGTGCCAATGGGACCTTTGGGGCTCTTCTTTAGTTGCCTCGGATCCCGCAGATTCGAAGATTGGGGCGTCTCAGAAGAACTATGGAGAAACGTCCTGGCCACCTCCAACCGTCTTTGGGCCATGGCGTAGCCTCTTCGCACATGCCGGAGAAGTTTTCTTTGGGGTCTCTGGGGGGCGCTTTCTGTCCTTCCTTGGCGCCTCCTGGGCAATCTTCGGGGTCTCCTGGAGCTGCTTTTTTGTCCCGTCTTGAAAGCCCGGGGCCATCTTGGAGCACTTTTAAATCATCTTGGGCCCAACTGGGCCGTCATGGGCCGTTATTGCACCCATCTTGCGGCGCATTTGGGCCGTCTTGGAGCGATATTGACAGCATCTCGGGCTGTATTGGCGCTGTGGTGACCGAGAAGGCACATGTGTTACATTATGCACGAACGGTCTGGACCGCCAATCCGCCAATCCGCCGTTCTGGTCCGCGTGTGCGAGGCGCCTTCTCACTCGAAGCTCTCATGACCCTGTGGCCAAACTGGGGTCGGGCCACCTCCGCAGGAGCTCTGCCCCCTCTCCTTGCGGCCACCTAGGGCCCCCCAAGATCGCCAACCCCAGGGGTGAATCGACGCAGGTCGTAATCGAGTCGAACAAGATCTCCTTCCCTTTGGTCCCTTCCACGCCAGGGGGGGAGGGTCCCCAGGGGGTGTCCCCCCCGTTTGTCGCCATCGCCGCCGCCGTCGTCGTCGTCGTCGTCGTCACCGTCGTCGTCGTCGCAGTGCGCCGCTGCGACGCTCGGGCGATCGTTGGGCAAGTATGGCCATCTTGAGTCCACCCAGGCCCGCTGGAGCCCTCTGGGTACCAACGTCAGAGAACTTCGGCGCTCTTGGGGGCATCCCTCGGGCCGGGTTGGACGCCCTGGGGGCTGGCCACGAAGCCCGAATCAGCAGAATCCCCTCGGTGTTGGTGTGACTGTCATATTTTCACCCCTTCGGTCGCAAGAGAGTCCAAGACAGCCCAACGAGCCCACTAGGCCAACCTAATATTGCCCAGTAAGCCCCAGGAAGAGGCCAAGAGGCTTCCAAGACGGCCCGAAGAGGAGCCCCAAGCGCGCGCCACCGCTCGCTGAAAGCCCACCCTCACAACATGATCCAAAATCCCCAAGAGGCCGGCAGCGGGCCCCAAGACGTCCACAGACGCATCCAAGTGGATCACAACGGCCCCAAGGAACTTCCAAGACGCCCCCACGAGCCCCACACATGTTCCGAATGCTTCTCGCATGACCCAGACGCAATGGGATGGGCCGAAGGTCACTGCGTTCGGCGGCGAGCGAGGGGGGGAAGTGAGAAGGAGAAGGCCCTCTCAGAAGGCCGTGTGACTTCTCAGAAGCCCTCGCGCCTTCTGAGAGGCTGTTTGCGTCTTCGGAGAAGGCTTCGAAAACGCTTCTCATAAGGCCGGGGGACTTCCGAACCTTCTGAGAAGGCCTTCTCCTTCTCGCTTCCCCCCCTCGCTCGCCGCCGATACGTATGCGTCACTCAGAAAAAAAAGCTACACACTGGCGTTGACAGTAGAGCGGGTTCAGCCCGCCCTCTGAGGAGGAAGAAAGGAGGAACACCGTTCGACTCATGCAACAACACAACTCCTCGGTGGATTGGGGCTTTGGAATCCGGACGTGCGCTTTTTCAGCAACCGGTTTCGTACGAGAACTGCCAGTGCCCCTAGCCCCCGTCGCCCTTCCGCCGATTGCGCAACAACTATTCCTTCTCAAGGTCGGCGATGCCGGCCGCACGGCCTCTGCAATGGGCAGTCGGGTGCGTGCCTCTCGCACGCACGGGCATGGATGCGCCGATGACTGATGCAGCGGCAGCAGTGGCCAACTGACCAAGCGACGGAGTGCCACTCGCCCCAGGCAGACAACATCGCTTCCACCTCCCCCTCTCCCTCCTCCTCCCCCTCTCTCCATCCCTCTCTCTCACTCTTTCTCTACGTCTTATGCTTTCTATCTCTCTATGATGTATACATATATCTCTCTCTCTCAGTCTCCCTCCTCTCTCTCTGTCCCTGCCTCCACCCCCTCTATACATAGATATTTTGTTCCTTCTCTCTCACACTATTTCTCTCGCTCGAGCTCGCTCTATCGTTCAATATCTCTCAATATTTATGTATCTACAACTATATATGTTGTTTCTATGTTTTGGGTTTTCCTCTCTCCCTCTCTCACTCTCATTCACACACACGCTCTCTCTCTCTCTCTCTTACCTCCTCCGCACGTCAGAGAGGAACGGCCCGCCCATTCACCCCGTTCTACTCCCAGCAACAATCCCGCCGCTGACCACAAGAGAAGAGAAAATTCTTCGGACGTCCTCTCGACGGAGTTGAAGTACACCATCGCTTGGGGTGGTTCACAAGCGGAAGGCTGCGTTGGTTCAGGATGTAGCTGCGACGCTGGCGTCGGGAGAGCACAACAATATACAAGCGCACCGCTTCCCCATCGGACGACTGCGGCGATCCACCGCAAAATGGCAGGAGGGAGACAAAAAGTAGGAGCAGTAGCGATCTTTCGTATCCCCTACGTTTGCCGTTGCCTTTGGAGGCGGCACGCGAAACTGTCCAGGTAGGGAAGGGGAACAGCAACACGAACAGCGAGAAGGCTCAGCCAGGGCACAAGGAGGGGGGAAACACAGCTGAACTGGTTCGAATCACCGAATCGGATCGGATCGGAAACGGACCTCCAACGAATCGTCCCGATCCGAATTGAAACTGGCTCACCTCGCCCGCCTCCGACTGGCCCTGGCCGGTGCTGGTGTGCCGAACAACATCGAATCGAAGCGGATCGCCGGCGGCCTTGGGAGGGGCGCGTGGGGGATGAGGGGGAGGAGGAGGAGGAGGAGGAGGAGGAGGAGGAGGAGGAGGAGGAGGAGGAGGAGGAGGAGGAGTATGAGGACAAGAACGAGGACGACGAAGACAAGGACGAGGAGGAAACCGAAGACGAGGACGGAGATGGGGACGAGGACGAAATGCACGAGGAGGAGGAGGAGGAAAACAAGGACGCGCAGGACGAGAACAAGGGAGAGAACGAACGAATGAACGACCACCGCTGCAGACAAGCGTCCGGGCCTAGCTCAGGCCAGGTGGGTGCGGCCGCGGCCTCTGGATTCTGGCGTGTCTGGACACGTGCAACGCGAAGCAAACAAACTTTAAACGTGTCGGGCCGAAAGTCGATACAAACTCGACTTCAACCAATCATCCGAGATCACACTACCGCAAATATCTGCACGCACGCTGGGCCCATCGCTGCCTCTGGGGACGGCTTGGATGGATCCTCGATGTGAACTGCCCGAAGCTTGGCCGTCTCCGTAGCATACGCTCTCCCTGCCTGGAGCGCTGCTTTGATCACTGCCAGATTCTCGTCCGCCGTGAACATCTGAAACGCCGTCATCAGCATCCTGATCTGGAGCGTGCTGCCGAGGAGCGCTCTCGTCACGACTGGGAAAAGCCTCGCCATCATCTGCGAGTCCGTCTTCGGCAGACGCTCGATCGCGTCGGCCAGGATGCCGTAAAGATTTCCGAGCTCGACTGCTCGGGAGCGTCCAAGAGGGGGGTGTCCAAGAGGGGGGGTGCAAATCATGACCAGCGGCATGTGCGCGGCCCAGGGGGAGGAGCGGGGACGTATTGAAACAAGAGGAGGCGCCACGAAATCTGAGGAAAAAACATTGCTCACGCCATGATGCCCCCCCCCCCCTGGCCGTCACCCCGCTCTTGGCCGCCCCAGACTATTGCCTGAGGAGGTGCGCCTCCAGCCGAAGGGGCGCCTGCCGAGGCCGCTGCCGGACCCGCGCTGTGCTGCCGAGGGGCCTGGCTGCGCCGACGCCCCCGCGCGCGGCTCCCAGGACGCCCGGAGGCAGCTGCGGGCCCACCGCGGCCTCTCCCAGGGCCGCCTCCCTCTCTCCTGTCTGCCCTGCGATGGAGACCTCTCGCTGGCTGCCTCCAGCTGTTCGGCGCTCGGGCGGAACACTAGGCTGAGTACTCGGCGCAGTGGCGTGACCCGCCACGTGTCTGTATAAATGATCAAGCGACTCGAAAAGCCGATCCGCTGAGCAACAATCGCCTGTGTTGTTACCACCATGCACCTAGGCCACCGTGAGGGCGGCAAGAGGGCATTTGAGTTCATCTGGCTGCCGAACTGGGTGACAACAGTACTCCCAAGTGCAATGGCATCGTCGTCGTAGCGCTGCCTGAAAGGAATGTTCCTGCGCTATCCTGCGAGTCTGCCTGCAATAAATGCACTGGCTGGTGACCGTGATCGAATGCATGACCGACCGATATGAATGACCACCCTCGGCCGAGAAACGTCGACGAGCCAGTGGAGCCGTCCATGTCCGAAGCTGCCTCCCACTGACTCGACCAGTCAAATGGGCAATCTCGCATGTCCATGTCGCTGGGGCCGGTGGGGGAAACAATGCCATGGTCCCGAAATCACCAGTCACAGGAGCATCGGGTCCAGGAGGAGGAGGGATAATCACCGTCTTAGCAGCTGCCCGAAGAACCCCTGGATCGAGCCGAAGGAACCGCTCTGGGCCCTCGAAGAGAGCACGGATATTGAGGCCGAGCGGATCGGGGGTCGACGAGTCGACGACGAGGTCCTCTAAAAATCCGCTTCTTCCGATCGCCTGGGGAGTCGGATGATATCTACTGAGGAGGAGGAGGAGGAGGAGGAGGAAGAGGAGGAGGAGGGAGGAGGTAGGAGGAGGTAGGAGGAGGTAGGAGGAGGTAGGAAGAGGAGGAGGAAGAGGAGGAGGAGGAGGGAGGAGGAGGAAGAGGAGGAAGAGGAGGAGGAGGAGGAGGAGGAGGTGGTAGGAGGAGGAGGTAGGAGACGGAGCAAATCTTCGTGCGTACGGATTCGTGTCTGCGGCCAGCGAAGCACCAACGAGAAGAACCGGCCCAGGCCCAACAAGAAGCCGGCCAAAGGCTGCGCCTGGCTCCCGGGCGTGCCTGGACGGCTTCCGCACGCCGGACGCGCAGCTCGGTGCCGCACGGAGCGACGCCAATCCTCCTCCAGGCATTCTCGTCCGAACATGTCTGGTACTTGATCTTAAGTTTGCCGTCGTTGTCAAGTGCAGGTTGGCGGTCGTCGTCTAGGATTTCAGTTTTCTCGCAAGCGTCCCCTCCTAGAAGCTTGCGGGAAAAATCTGCCAGAACCTTATCGAATTTCGTCGCCTGGGTGGGGGCGATGATCGGCGTCGTCAGGCCCGAGAGGAGAGTTCCTTGCACCGCGGCTCCAAACACTGTTCGCGTCAACCTCCAGGCCTTGTTCTGAGACCCGGACTTCCCCATCGAATAACAACCCCTGCGTCGCGATAGGACCTGACGTCTCGGTGTTCCTGAACCCCTCCGCTGACAGTCGTGGCGATCCCCAGGGACACGTTGTCGAATTGGACCTGGCCCGAGACAGGCTCCGAGCCTCGGGGGATGGCCGCCAGGTGTCTCTGAGAGCCCTGGTCCACGAACGACGGGGAGTCTTGGCTTTTGTCGGCATTGTGCTTGTAGCCTCCGCCTCTGTGAGACTCGCGAAGCCGCTGATGTGCAGTGTCGAGCGTACACTGATAGCCCAATGCTGAGAAAACCGTATGTGTCATGCTCGAGTCGTCGGCGTAGATGCGGCAAACGGGTGAGACACGCCCATGAAGAAAAGGCGCCCACGCCATGCAGATATCTTCCGAATGCCAGATCTATTCATCCATTTTGCTCCCCACATCCGAAGTGGGCTTCTCGTTTTCTTTGGACACCCCGCGCAGGAACAGGAACACCCACTCCCTTCCCACTCACAGCACTCACATCATCGTCAGCATCAGCATCATCATCACCACATCATCACCACTTACACACTCGCACACACCCTCATTCTGCAACTCACTCACCCACCCACAACTACAACTCATCACTCATCATCATCATCATCACCATCACCATCACCATCACCATCACCATCATCAGCATCATCATCGGCATCCGCATCATCATCATCATCATCATCATCACCATCATCATCATCATCATCACCAACAGCATCATCAACATCAACATCAACATCAACATCATCATCATCATCATCATCAGCATAATCATCATCATCATCATCATCATCATCATCATCATCATCATCATCATCATCATCATCATCATCATCATTATCACAACACCATCGTCAACATAGCTTCGTTTGTGAGTGAATTGCGAGAGTGTCTCAAGCGGGAACCCCCTCCCTATTGGGGCCGCCGCTAATGTTTCTGAATCCGAACGGGTCGTCGGAACCCTGTAGATGTCGTCACTGATGGGCCCCTGAGGCTTGAACATGGAAGAAGCATCCGGCGGGAGCCTCGTCAGTGAATGGATTGCGAAAAGTCTCAGGCGGGAGCCCTCTCCCTAAGGGGCCCAGCGCTCATGTTTGTTTAATCCGAACGGGTCACCGGGATCCCGTAACTGTCGTCACTTTTGGGCCCCTGGGGCCTGCATATGGAAAAATATCAGGCGGGTGGCGGCCGCGCTGAACATCGCGGTGGACCTGCGCGAATGTCGCCGACGCAGTGAGACGCAGGACGTGTAGGAGTCCACGTGCACGCGGCTGCACCACCACTTCGGGCCCATCCCCATCGTGTTGCACCTCGGCGACTTCCTCCGACTGAAGGCCACGGGCAGCATCGGCCTTTTGACGGACGTGAACGAGCTCCTGGACGGTGGGTCCTGCAAATACGCGAAGCCGCCGACGGTGGGCACGCCATCAAGATATTCTCTCGAATCCACTGCATCTTCGGGCTGAAGAGCACGAGACGCTTCAAGCCCAGGGGCCCTGTGATCACGCTCTTGGGCTGCACGCGCGAGGGCAATCCCTTCCCGCCAGAGGTCTGGTCCGCCTGGGAAGCGACCTTGGCTTCAACAAACACTGCGTCCTGGACCTTCGGCGCCAGCGCGAAAACTTTCGGCTCGGCTACGGCATGGGCATCTACTGGGACGCGCTGGAGAAGAGGATCAACACGCGCGCTCGTCGCGCCGCGCGGCGTCTGGGCGTGCCCCTCGTTTTCTTGCAACCCGTGGACCAGTGCAACACGATTAGGGAGATACCAACGCGGCCCGCGCCTCTTGACCGTCCCGGACATGCACAAGACGGGGGGCATCCACGGCGTCTTACCGGCCCACGTCGGCATGGAGGTGCGATCTACGGCAGCGCAGGACGAGCTGAAGAAGTTGAGGCTCCTGCAGGAGCAACGGGCCACCATCGTATCCTTCGGGTTTCACCTCGAGGACGAGCAGCGGTGCGAGGAGCGCTCCCCGTGCCAACTTTTCCGCCCCCGCTACCTACCGCAGGGAATATGGCCGCAAGCGCGCGGTTCTAAGGAGTCTCCGATCTACCCGGAGGTCGCCGAAGTGCTGCTACAGGGCGCCGAAGGCGCCGACGACGACGGCGAGGCCGAGGCGCGGGCGAGGAGCTTGCTCATGTTCAGGCCCGACGAGCATGAACTCACGTGGCAGAGCTCGGGGCCGCACGCCGCGCGCCGCTCGGGGTTCACCAGGACGCACGCGTCGTACATCACCTCCAAGCTATTGCAGGGCCAGGCGCTGCGCAAGGGCGTCACCATCGACTGCGCGAGGGACGAGGTGGTGGCCGCACCTCCACGTCATCTTCTCACGCGCCACGCGCATGCGGAACACGGAACATGCTGATCCTGCGGCCGCCGCCGCGCGAGTTCCTGGAACGAGAGCCGCCGTCATCCTTGCGGAAGGCGCTCCTGGAGTTCGACGTCAAAGCGGAGTGCGCCAGGGCAGAGGCGGAGCAGCTCGCGGCAGGGCTGGGTTTCGTGCCGCCCCCCGCGTGAGCGCGGCGGCGCCCCGCTCGGAGCCCGCGGGGTTGTCCAAACGGCGGCTTGGTCGCGCGCGCCAGCGGCTCGCGTGGCTGTCCCGACGGCCTGGCCCGCGGGGCTGTCCCCGACAGCTGCGCTATCTCACCGTCAGGGAACTCGCCCCTGCCAGGCGTGGCGGCGAGGGCGCCGAGGAACCTCTACGCGCGCGCCCCTTGCCAGGAGGAAGGAGAGGTGCAGGAGGAGAGCGAGCGGGGCGGTGATGAGGAGGGAGAGAAGGAGGAGGAGGAGGAGGAGGAGGAGGAGGAGGAGGAGGAGGAGGAGGAGGAGGAGGAGGAGGAGGAGGAGGAGGAGGCGGAGGGCAAGGCAAAGGCCGAGGAGGAGCACGAGGAGGAGAGGGAGGAAGTGGAGGAGGCGGAGAAAAAGGAGGATGCGGAAGAGGAAGGGAATGAGACATGCAACGGGTAGGGCGAGAAGGAACAGGAGGAAGAGAGGAAGAGAAGGAGGAAGGAAAGGAGGACGGAGAGGGCGGAAGGAAGCTTCCGCGAGAAGAAGAAGAAGAACAAGGCGAGGGGCAAGCTAAATTGATTCTCGTGCGGGGTCCTACCGTCGCAGTAATTCGGAGGTGCTCTGTGGGCGAGGGGATGATGCACCCATTCGGAGTAGGTGCTTGGCCGAAGGGGAGCTGAGAGACCACGCCAGGAATAAACACGGATAATCGAACCAGTTCTGTATTGGCCGTCGGAAGCTCCACGCGAAAAAGACTGCAGCAGGACCGTGGCACATGAAGGCGCCGCAAGTGTTCCGAAGAATCTGCTCACCATCTGCTGTCTGAGTGGTAAAAGTGCTGGACTCGTGACGCTGGTGTAAGAACTTCTGGGTGGCAGGCTCTATGGGCTCCTGGACTCTCGTGCGGAGCGCCTCGAAGGTCGAACACTCGAAAGAACTAGACATATCTCCCTTCGAGGTGGCACTCGGAATGCCTCGCGTCCGAAGCCTCCAGAGCAGAGCCTCTTGGCGCACCAATGCGCCTTCGCGATTCCGTCCTGGAAGGTACTCGTGTTCCCGATATGGAGTATCATCTGGAATGCCTCGGACCAGCTGGGCCTTGAACCAGGCCGCCCCCCGTCCTGCAAAGCCCATGGATGTACCCCCAAGCGCTGAACCCCTCGCTCCCGCTCTGCTCACTGAGGCACGTGGCTCTACAAGGACGTCAGACCACCGGGGTCCTGCCTGCGCGCCTAATGTGGTGGAACACCTTCTGGAGCGCCCCGTTGGAAACCTTGTTGGAGTAGTTTCAGGAGTTGCCCCAAGACCCCGACGATCACCTCCGAGCCTATGCCGAGGAACGAACGCCTCAGCCTCATGACGGGGCCAACGGGGGCCATCTGGATCCGAGTCTTCGTCGCCGTCGTCTTGCCTGCGCCGTCGCGCTCGCCTCTGGGCCTCATCGGATCTGCGAGACGGGCCAACAACTAACTGCAAGATCTCTGACGGAACGATGTGGAGAGGTCAGGCTTTACGACGAGGGGCCCGAGCAAGTAGTCCACAAACCTTCTGGAGATCATCGCGGCCTTCCTCCACGGCTGCAAAGCTATCCGCTCCAATGGGTGGTGGAGGAGAGGGTCGACGCGCGCTGGCCAGAGAACTCACCAAGGTCGATCGGCACTGCGGCGAAGCCTCCGCTGGGGTCATCCTTCGCGAAGTGCTCGCACACTTCGGAGGCCCTTGGTAAAAAACAAAAACAAAAAAAAACTCGTCTGCCGCATTGTGTCGTCTCTTGCGAGGTTCGCGGCACTGGCCTGCAAGGAGGTGTGCGGGCCTCCAGACATCCGCATGGCGTCGAGAATGCCATGCCTGCTCCATCTCATGCACCAGCTGCGCCGTGACCGCCTGTTGCCGTCCCCGTCGAAGCTGCCTCAATTGTCTGGAACATCTGGCGAGAGCATGCGTCGTAGTCATATCATCATCACCAAGCGAGCGCTGATGCCGCCAAGCTGCCAGAAGCCGTGCCCGTTCTTCCGCGCACGCCTGCGCACAGGGGTCTGCGGACGCCGATCTGCTGAAATGCTTCGCCGCCGTGGAATAAACCGTTGTGGCCCACTCCTGACATACTGAATCGGGGGCGGGGGCATCAAGAAACATCTCGTGGAAGCCAGGGCACTGGGCGAACCTCAAGTCGAGACCATGATATGTCAAAGTCGCAGGGCACACGCATCATAGTAGGCACATGATCCTGGAGCCTTTGCTTCCGAATCAGCTTCAGCCTCAAGTTGGAACGCTTCAGCCCCAAACATCTCACCACATACCGAGCCTGCCACTCACACACAACAACGTAGTCGATCGGGCTCGAGCTCCCGTGGCCGAAATACGTGTTGCCCACAGAGAAAGACATGGATACCCCTTTCAGCGAACATCGCTCGAAGATCTCAAGCACCCAATCTCCTGCGAACCTCTGTTCGCCCACGCCAAATCTGCCCAACGCAGGGGACTGGACAGGAGCAAGGCCAGCACCCCGTTGACGACAGAGCCCGGACGAGTCGTTGAGGTCGAAACCCCACAAGACAGATGAGCGGGCTTTCGCCCAAGTAAAAACCTCGTTCAACCAAGCACACATACAGCTGACAGTACATCGACGCGGTGACGGGCGAGGGGGAAAGCATGTGACAAGTATCAAGATGCCAAATCGCCCCGATCGGATCCGACGGAGCGCCACGCGGCCCAGACGCTGTCTGGGAACAAGAGGGGAATCCGCGATGTGCTTCCGTCTGAACTTCTTCTTGCGTAAGAGCAGAATGATTCCGCACGACTTGTTCACGTGCCGGCCAGGGACGTAGCCGTGCCGAAGTGCAATATGATGGCGAAGGTGCGTTACTGTACATGGCTGCTCGCCTGCACGTTCGGGCGGGGGAGGAGGGAGGATGCAGGAGGAGTCAGGAGTGGGGGGGGAGGAGAAGGAGGACGATGCAAGGGAGGAGCAGGGCGGAGGACGCCGAGCGTAGCCAGGGGCAGGAGCATGAGGGAGCGCCTGTAACACTGGCTTCGGCTATCGACGCTGGTTCTCATGAGAAAAATCCTCGAGGCCTCGCGAAACAACTCGAGACCCAACTCGTGTCGGATCCACGTCGGAATCACGTCGGACTGCGTCGGTTTTTAAATCGGAACATCGACGCGCGAACGTCGTCCCATGTCTGACTGGGCGGACGTGTGGACTAGATAACACAGCTATCGCGCGCCGCGCGAGGCCTCCAAGACTTTCCTCATAAGAAGTTCGTGGCGTGACGGCCAACGCACGGGTCTCTGACACGGCCTGAACCGCTCGACCTTGCACGATTGGCGGCATTTCGGCTGCCAAATCGCTCCATGTGTTCTGGGCCACTGGCGGCGTTCAACCTTGAACGCCCGCGCTGAGGTTGCCGCCGCGCCAACACTACACGAACCTACCGTACTCTTCTTTCCCGTCGTCCCTCGCCACATTGCCTGACATGTCAAAGTGCTGGTAAACGAAATGGCACTCCTACCCTATGGTCCAATTTTCGACAAGCCAACGACAACAACTGTGCCGCTCTGCGCTTGTGGGCAATCTGCTGCGCTGCTCGTAGAAATAGAGAGGCATGGCACGGATGAATAAACAAGCAGGGCGACACGGCTTCACGCCCTTTGCAGAACAGATACCTCGAGCCAAATATGGCGGCAGGGGTGGCCAACAGAAAGCGCGCAAGATGAAGAGATACGTCCAACAGAGCGGATGTGCATGGCGAGCACAATCTCAAGGCTATGACACGTACGAAGCGGATATGTGCGCGACACGCGCACTGCAGCCAGCGCGCACGATGAGGATGTGCAGCAAGGGTGCGAGCGTGGTGCCAGCGCTTGGGGGAGGAGGGTGTGTGCGCGCGCTCGCTTGCGCGTGGGGTGCTGGGATGGGGGGGGGGGCAACTCGGTGGCCACGCCGCGGCGCGAACAACCGCCGCCCGATCTCTTACCGCGGCACCCAACGGACCCCCGAACGGCACCACCGTTCAAGTCGTCTTTGCCGCTTCTGTGGCCGCTGGGCCCACAGAAGAAGCATACGCGGACCACATAAGCCCAACGATTCGCCGCGCAACGATGGCAAAACGGATCGTTGGAGATCGTGGGTGCGGGCTGTGCGCATACTTGGTAACGGGCGACGAGAAAGCTCGGCGAGGTGTTGCGGTAGGCAGGACGCCCCGATCTTATGCTTATGCCACGCTCTCTTCGCTGACATCTCTTCTGGCTATTGCCGCGCCGACCTGTTTCTGATGGTAGTATAATCTGAGGATCATCTGAGAAACGCTCTGGGCGATTTTTTCTTGTTCTTGAAATTCTGTACTTTGAGCTCTTCGCAAACGGAAAACTATAAACCAACAAAGACACAGACGCTTCTGCGCATTCTTCACGGAGGGGTCTCCCCCAACAGTGCTTGCAATTACGGGTTCGCGCTTCTGGTCCAAAGAACTGGGCCTGTGTGTCGGTCTGGCGGCTCCATGCCTGCCGTCGCCGCCCCGTCCTTGCCCGTCGCCTGGGCTTGTGTCCGTCTGGCGGCACCGTGCCAGCCGTGGCCGCCTCGTCGCCGCCCGAGACTGCACAATGTAGATTGTGCAAGATAGTTTTTCCCCCAGATAAAAGAGATCGCCCCGGGCTCGGGCAGGGAACGAGTAGCACAGCGGGGCGGAAATAGGGGTATATGACTATTTTACGGTGCCCGGGCCCGTGCCCGGGTGCCCAGGCCGTGCCCGGGTGCCCGGATGCCCGGGTGCCCGGCTGCCCGGGCGATGCCCGTATGCCCAACCGCCTGAAGCCTGGCCCCGCTCGGGTGCCCGTGTGCCGGAGTGCCCGGATGCCCGGGTGCCCGGATGCCTGGGCCCGTGCCCGCGGGGCCTTGCCCGGGCGCCTGGATGCCCGGATGCCCGGGTGCTCGGCTGCCCGGGCGATGCATGTGCCTGAGGCCCGCGCCCGCTCGGGTGCCCGTGTGCCCGCATGCCCGGATGCGTGCCCGGGCCGTGCCCGGGTGCACGGATGCCCGGGTGCCCGGCGGGTGCCCGGGTGCCAGGGTGCCCGGGTGCCCGGGTGCCCAGGTGCCTGGATGCCCGGATGCCTGGGTGCCCGGCTGCCCGGGCTTTGCCCGTGCGTGAGGCCTGGCCCGGGCTCGGATGCCCGCGTGCCCGGATGCCCGGATGCCCGGGTGCCCGGATGCCCGGGCCCGTGCCCTTAAGTGCCCGGGTGCCCGGATGCCCGGGTGCCCGGGTGACCAGCTGCCCGATCAATGCCTATCTCTGCGGTCCGGCCCCGATCGGGCACCCGGGTGCCCGGGTGCCCGGATGCCCGGGTGCCTGGGTGCCCGGGCCGGCCCGGGTGCCCGTGTGCCCAAATGCCCGGGTGCCCGGGTGCCCGGGTGCCCGGATGCCTGGGTGCCCAGATGCCCGGGCCCGTGCCTTATGCCAAATGGTGCCCGCATGCCCGGATGCCCGGGTGCCTGGCTGCCCGGGCGATGCCCGGATGCCGAGCTGCCTGAGCCCCGTTCGGGTGCCCGGGTGCCCGGGTGCCCAGGTGCCTGGACGCCTGGAACTCTGCATGAATCCCCAAAG